TGTCAGATGAATAGCTTGATAATATGTTCTCTCATTCTATAGGCTGTCTCTAAACTGTATTGATTGTTTTCTTTGCCTTGCAGAAGTTTTTAAATTTAATTTCATTTGTCTAGTGTCCATCAACTGACAGATGGATGGAGGAAGTGTTTGTGCATATATATGTGATGGAGTATTATTCAGCCATTAAAAATAATGAAATGCTGATCATTATGTTAAGTGATATAAGTCAGGAACAGAGAGATAGTACCACATTTTCTCACACATATGTAGAATATAAAAAGTGTTGATCCCCTACAAATGGAGATTTGAATGGTGGTTATTAGAGGATGGGGAAGGTGGGGGTGGTGAGTGAACGTGATCAGTGGCTATGAAGTTGCTGTTGGATTAACACCTTGTGTTTGCTACTGCATAGATGGGTAATTATAGGCAATAATAATGTGCTGTATATTTCAAAAAGTTAGAAGAAAGGATTGATAAAGTTTTACCATAAATATTATAAATGTTTGAGGAGGTAGATATGTTTAACCTGATTTAAACATTGCTCAATACAGACATGTATCAAAACATCACATAGTATTCCAATAATATTCACAACTTTTATATTTTTATGTATCACTTAAAAAATTTTTAGAAAGAGTGAGTGATATTTTAGGTTTATTATATTAAGATAGTCTTCAGATTTGTTAATTATTTTTTTGTGGTACTGGGGTTTAATCTCAGGGCCTCATGCTTGCTAGGCAGGCACTCTACCACTTGAGTCACTCTGCCAGCCCTTAGATTTGTTAATTTTTGAATACTATATTTTCCTATTTTTTTAATTAATGTTATTATTGAGTGAATTGTTTTATGTCTGATGAGTACAAAGAAGAACTGATACAGGTATCATAAAATACTGATTAAGATTACAAACTAAGTTGAAACAAAATCTGCAGGTCAGTTCTATCACTCTCTTAAGAGAATTCTTGTTTACTTTCACAGTTCCCTGTGCTCTAGAAAGCACATTTTAATATTACTCTGATGACTTAGAACTAGGGACTAAAGTAGTCAATGCATGTTCCAGAAAGTCCTAAGTCTTCCCATAGAATAATGAATCAATTTTTGTTTCCAAGTTGTTAGTTCTTATCTTTGAAAGAATTGTTTAAAATTTTGGACATTTTTCAACTTTACCAGACATGTCTTATTGAAAGAAAATCAGTCAAACAGTCCAATTTAGAAAAAAAATGCTTGCTTGTAGTAAACATTGTTTACATAATAAGATGACAAGGGATTCTTCCCTTTAAACATTGCAGCCCTTCTCTACTCATTCAAATCTCTGAAAGGATAATCCTGAAAACATTAACCACTAATACTGAAAATAATTAATATTTTCTATATCACAATCATTTCATTTTTTCTTTATTGTAATAACACAAGTGCTCAGATCACTACAGAACAAAATGAGCAATTAAACATTATTTTTTCTATGAATGAGGTTGCCCATTTTTCTTCCTTGCTTTCTTTCTTTTTTTTTCTATCTTCACGTAATCATTATAAAATCAAACAATTCATTAATCTGCTTCTAGGATACAAATACCTCACCAGGGTAATGGAATCTTTAAGACTGATGGTAACTTGAAGATAACAAGGCTCCAAGGAGGCTAGCAGTGTGATTCAGTGCAAGAGCACTTGCCTAGCATGCAGGAGGCTCTTGGTTTGAACCCCAGCATGGAAGAAGAGCAAATAAATGTCAAGTCTCTCAACATCTTGCCATAATTGTACAGTGACCAACAGTTAGATAGTAGTTGAAAAGGTGAGCTACTTTTTTTCTTTAAGGGAAAGGGATTTTTCCCTTTTTTTTCTTTCTTTTTATAGGGGTACTGAGGTTAGAACACAGGGCCTCAGGCTTGCTAGTCAGGCATTCTTACCTCTTGAGCCACCCACCAGTCCTTTTCTCTGATGGATTTTTTTCCAGATATGGTCATCACAAACTATTTGCCTAGGCTGGCTTCAAACTGAGGTCCTCCTGATCTCTGCTTCTTGAGTGGCTAGGATTATAAACCTGAGGCACAGGGGCCCAGACCAATTTTCCTGCTTTTTAAGAAATATATATATATATATATATATATATATTTGCTTTAGAGGTATATTGTTAAATTTTATATAGCATATTTAAATATTTATCTCTGAATTAATAGTTCCATGGATGAGCCCATTACTCATTGGAACTTCATTCTCCCAGTTAAATATGGTTTCTTAAAACAAGCCATTGCTGGGTGCCAGTGGATCACACCTGTAATCCTAGCTACTCAAGAGGCAGAGATCAGGAGGATCATGGTTCAAAGCTAGCCCGGGGAAATAATTCATGAGACCTTATCTCAAAAAAATCTTTCACAAAAATAAGGCTGGTGGAGTGGCTCAAGGTGAAGGCCCTGAGTTCAAGCCCCAGTACTGCAAAAAAAAAAAAAAAATACAGTGGTTCTTAGCTACTTCCTTCCTTACCATGTAGGAGTCAGTAAACTTTTGTGTAATAGAGGAATGATGAACACTCAGAAAAAAGGAAACGTGGAAAGTTTAGATCTGAAAATAAAGCAAGATAAATGAAAGCAAGGACAACAAAAACTGTATCATGGGTGAACTTGATGTTTAGTTTTGAGCCATCAGCTTGTACCGTTGATGTGATAGAGAATTGTGAAACTGGCCCAATGCTTTCATCAAAGTCAAGCTTTATGAACTATTTGTCAAGTAAGCAATTGTGAAATTCTATTTAAATAAAAACAAAACTCACTAAAGTGACTGCTAAAGCCAACTCTTCTTTCCTCAGAAATATCAACCTTTCATTTTAGATAACATCTGTATGGGGAGTAATAATGAATCATTTCAAGCATGTTATAAGAGAAAAAGTGTATTTTTTCCCCATAGTACTAGGGCTTGCACTCAGGGCCAAGTACTTGCATAACCAACCAAACATCCAGCCTTTTCTGCTTTATCTTTCTCACGCTTGTTCCTGGAGCTAGCCTCAGACCATAATCTTCTTACCTCTGTATCTCAAGTAGATGGGAATGCAGGTGTGATCCATCACACCCAGCTTATTGATTGAGTCAGCATCTTTCTGACTTTTTGCCTGGGCTTCCCTTGAACCACAATCCTCTTATCACCAATTCCCAAGTAGCTGAGATTAATAAAGTGAAATTTAACTTGGATCACATTCTTGAGAACTTGGCTATTTTGTCAACTTCAGAAAAAGTTTCCATTAGTATATCCATCAAATGGTGTTTATGTATCAATTTTTTTCAACCCTGCCATCTTTCTGTTCAAGGCAATAATGCAGGCCATCTGTAGATGCATATAAAATTTTATGGAGAATATGATAGTATTCCAACCTTGCACGCACTGAACAGGCAATTAAAAAAGAGATTGTTGCCATCACTGGACCATAAGATCCATGAAAAGAGACCATCTTTGTTTTTCACATCTCCTATTCCTAGAACCAAGAATAGAATTGGCCCATGGTGAACGCTCAGTATATTTAATGAGTGAATGAATAAATTATTGAATGAATGAACACAATAGGAGTATCCTGTAGCCTTTTAAAAGACATCATATATACATTTTCTTGGTGTTTTAAATGGCAACACAGTATATGTCAACATTCAAGAAACCATTTCCAATCCCAGCTACTCAGGAGGTAGAGTTAAGAAGAACTCTGTCCAAGGCTGGTCTGGGCAAAAGTGTGAGACTCTACCTGAAATACAAACTAAAATCAAAAGGACTGGGAACGTGACTCAAGTAGTAAAGCACTTGCCTAGGAATCACAAAACCTGAGTTCAATCATCAGGGCTACAAGAAAAACCAAACGCAAATAGCATATGCATGTGTGTGTGTATATCCTAAATCATTTTAGTTGTTGCATAAGTGTTTAGTTATTACTATTGAACATATCAAAGTTTATCTGAGTCCCTCTATGTAATTTATCCCAATTGTAGAAATTAGAGGCAAATTTTTCTGCAAAATCTTCGTAGCAAATATGACCTGAGTAAATATATATAATGATTCTGAAAGAAATGTCTACTTATGCTGTGGTGTTTCTTCCATAAGGGAGTGCACAAAGTAGAATCATCCTTTGAGGATTTCTTTTTTCCTTTGCAATAAGAAAATAAATCAAAAGAGAGGAGGAATGTGAATCAGCTACCATGTAAGCTAAGTTTACATTCCCTTTGGCCAGTCCTCCGGGCCTTCAAACGTTCCAGAGATTTATCTCTTAACTATGCTGATCTTGGAATTTCCAGAGCAAATTTTTCTTTAAAAAGGATAAATCAAACTGTCCGTAGGGTGCTAAGCTAAAGATATATGCTCCAAGATTATATTGGCTCTTTACTTTGATTATATTGACTGTACCTTGGTTTATAAATATTCCCTTTGAAACTATCTAGTGGATATAAACAACTGGGTAACAAAAATGCCAAGAGTAAAGACAAAACTAAGATCCAAAGATGAAGGGTGACTTGGTACTTGGGACACAGGTTTCTACAGTAGAATCTACCTTGTTTTGCTTCCAATAACTCTGCATACTTTACAAATTATCTGTTATCTGGGTCAAGCCAACAGTAGAGAGATTTTTCCAGATTTTCCCAATAGCTAAGATTTCATAAAAACAAATTAAAGAATTAAAATAAGCCATCACTCTGGAAACAGAACATATGACATTGTTTTGTTCAAATTTTTATTTTGTAGAAGGTAGAGAGCCATGAAGCTCAGAAAAAAATTTTTGTTTTCAAAAGTGATTCATCCAAAATTGCAAAGTGATAGAATCCGGACTAAAATAAGCAAGGAAGAAAGAAAAAGTGACTTAATCTCAAAGCAACTTCTCTGTCTATTCTGTTTTGCTTCCTTTACTCCTCTTTAGGTGGCACTGTGTCTCACCTTTGGAATTACAGAGATTAAAGTGGAGAAGGCTAAACTCTCAGAACAGCCAGTCCCATGGAGACCAACTAGGCAGGCATTGGAGCCTACACTCCACTTACCCAAATCAGAGCACTGGACAACTCGAAGATGGCACTGACAGCGGAAGGGACACACCGGTCCCAAGGGCTCCACTTCTGGTAGTTCAGGAGCACGTTCTTCTGGACCTATCCCAGAAGCCTCATCCTCTAGCATAAAGTCAAATAAGCCTCTCTGTTGAAAAGGTCCAGCCCAGGACACTTGTGCAAGCAGGAGGAAGATGAGAGTTGCCTTCATGGTGTATCTCATAAATTTTCACAACCTGGGAATCTAAGAAATGAGTGGACAGTTTAGGAAGAGCAGTGTTGCCTTGTACAGGTGCTATTTTTTATGTAATAGCCCATAACAGAGTGTACAAAGTAATATGGATTATGAGGAAGTCAAGCATTAAAAATGTATTTGAAAAATAGTAAGGCAATTAAGGTCACAGTTGCACAGCCATTTATTTACAAACAGAAAGTTGAATATTATTTAAATCTGTTTGCTTGATTTTGGGGTTTGAACTAAGATGGTATACTATGTTTTCATATCTACAAGTTATTTTAAATAATAAATCTTTCTGAACGTTTTTGATGCACACTCAACACAAGCTATGCCACAGTCAAATAAAATACTGCTATACACATGAAAAATCTCTAATTTCTGTCTCAGAAACCTCTCTGCAATCCAAGCTCATCTACCCATCCTACTGTATTTATATTGGTCTAGGCCCTCTCCGAACTTCTGCAAAACTCACAACTCATTTCTACCTTGAACATGTCCTCTACGGCAGGCCACCTCCCACTATTGGGCCCAGGTCATCTTATAAAAACCAAACTTCATCTTACTAATTTCTACAGAAAACCATTGGTTGACATCCCAGTAATGTCCACATACCCTAGGCTCTATGTAAAGCCACTCATAATTTGTACCAAATGATATTTATAGCTATATTTCTTTCCATTTTCTTTCTAATACCAGACCCCACCTCAACCCTGCATTCAAGCCTACTTGCCATTTAGATACCTACCTTGTAAGAAAGTAAGAAAGATTAAGTGAGGTACCTGGCTTCCTTTCTGAATTCCCTGGTTCATCCAGCTGGATGCTGTTCTCTGTCTCTACTGTGCTTCCAAACCAGTTCACTTTTACCTCTTGTAAAGAACTTATCACATTATATTACAATTTGTGTTGCATGCATGCTTTGTCCCCTACACTCCAGGATGTATTCCTCCAGGGCGTGTCTTGTTATTCCTTGTTCTGTTCCCTGCCTTGCACAATATTTTGAACACATATGACTCAATTGGCCATCAGCTTATTAAGAATATAATTTATTCAGTTTGTTCCAAGAAATCAATCAGACTTCTTAAAATATAAAGTTATATTTTTTTCAATACCAAATTTCTAGTATAAGAAATTTATCAAATTAGAAACCTCAACTTAACATAAGCAAAAGTCACTTTTAAAAACATACCTACTGGCTAGTACCCCAAATTCATAATTTTTAATAAACTAATAAATATAAATGAAACATCTGAATTGATTTTTATGTGATCTGTATGGCATTTGGTTTTACTGATGTTATTTTGTAAAAAAAAATACAGACAAATCTGTAAGACATTTATCAACTTATTCAGCAAGCAGTCAAATACATACATCTGTGTTGTTAAGTTGGTTGTTATGGACTAAATACTAAATAACTCTGGATAACATCTAAATAACAAAAAGTATTTGATAAAATACAGGATAAGCAGTCTGTTTCTAAGATGACACATTTTAAGCTCTTTGAATTATTCCCAAAACATATTACAGGTATTACCTTAAGTTGCAAGGTGTCTACTCTGAATTGTATATTTATAAGAAACTGTATTAGTGTTGCACATTCATAACTAGAATTAAAGAACTGCATTGAGTCATATTAGCCAATGGTAGCATATGCAAACAAGAAAAGAAAAAAAATTTTTTGTGTGGATAACCTGAATTTATCTTCTACAAATTTCTGCCAGATCCACCAAAGGAAAAAAATGCTTCTCACTTAAGAAATTGCACCCTTGTTCTTCATTTATATATAACATGGGAGCATGTCTCAGGCAGTACACACAATATAAGTTTGTGGTTTGCATTAAAAAACAAAGAATATTATTTACACTGCTTCTCTCAGTTCAATATCAAGTTTTCTCTAGAGCCCATTCACACTCAGTTACTGAGTTTCTCTTTAAGGGGAGACTTGTTTTGTTAGGATGTTTGCTTGAATTAATCTAAAGGAGAGGCTTTCTATCTGTTTCACATTAAAATGCAATGTTTAGGGTTTACCACAAGTTTTCTAGCCTTGCATATTTAATGTCTTACAATTTTAGAAAAAACGAAGCAAAATGATTGCAGATTTAATAAACAGCAACAGAGTTAATGCAGATGTCTCTTTGCAATCCTTTCTCCAGGGTAGAAAATGTCTGGTGGTTTCACTAACAACCTAAAAAAGGAAATGTTGAACCTTAGCTCAGAGGAATAGTATCATCATTTATATTTGCTTACTTTTGTCAAGATGGGCAAATTCTCTGCATAATATTCTTTTTGAATGAAACTAAATAGAGTCAGACAGCTTATAGCTTCAAATAGCCTATGACTTTTATGACTACCATTTACGAGTGTGTATGTGTGTATGTGTGTGTGTGTGTGTGTGTGTGTGTGTGTGTGCAAGTTAACTTTGGATGTCCTAGGGAAGAGAACCATGCCCAGAAACTTCAAACAAATTCTTCCGTAAAATTACATTGGTGTCCTGATGCCTTAAGACCAAGAATCTTAAAGCAATTAATGTGGGCTGTTGAAATTAACAATTTCTTCAAATCATTTTTTTCCTTCCTTAATAAATAATAAAAAATAAAGCTCACAGCACCTAGTAGTTGCCCATATAGAAGACATGGATACTGTGTTTGAGAAGACATACTTTATACATCTCATTGAAACTGTTTTACATATTCTCAAAATGTGTGTAAAGTCGCTATTCCAATAATACTTGTGGCCACAGTTTATAAATGTCTTATCAAAAATAGTATTTTCTGGCTCCTGAAACTACTTCATCCCATTTAATTATTTCATTCAGATCAACATTCGTATGGTGGCATTTGTACCCCTGATATGACTCGCAAAGTCAACATTTAACACTTAAGAGATAAATCAATGTGTAAAGGCAAAGCAAAATTAAAATCCCCCAGCACTCAGGAAATCTAAAACATCAATAGTAACTGGAACAATTAAAAGATAAACAATAAAAGCAGCATTTATTCATAAATAAAAAGCTACTATAAAAAGCACTTGGCTACTTTTTTCCGGTAAAAACAGAAAGAGGAAGAAAAAACCACAGGTATTTTCATCCCTGGGAGCCCACTTAACCACTGGTCATTGGGTTACCCTGTCTTAAAGTTAGAAAGAAATTAACTCACCCCTCATTTTATAGTGAATGTACCCTACCATAAAATCTCACTTGCATTGAAAATACTGATATGACAATTCCTTATATTTAAGGAATTACGTAACTGCCCAGATATCTCAGGTCTTCATACAATAAATATTCTTAGTGTTTATTTTCACCTCTCTGGTGATAACTACTATTCATTTCTGGGTTGTAGAAATATACATTAGATCTCTACAACAACAAAGTGCACTTCTCTGCTGTTTTAAAAGTTTGTCAAGTATACAGGAATTAAGGAAGAGAATAAATCCTTAAATATTTAATCTAGCTACAAATAGTATGTTCATTTAGAATACTTGCCCATTAACACTTCATAAAAGCTGAGTATTTCATTAGTACAAATACAAAAACATCAATATACTTAGTCATAGTGTTAGGTTTTTAATAAGCATCTTTTCAAGACCAGAAGAGAAAGTATAAAACAATGCATCAAACCATTTTACCAAACATTCAACTTCTGCTTTCAAGTAATGCTTGCTTAAAATGTTGCATAAAGATTATTAAAAGTTTAGCATGACTTTTTTTTTCTTTTCTTTATCTCACCAAATAGTTCCTTTAGCTCTCCACTTGACCGAAGTTTTATGAGTCTGTAGCAGAGTTCAGGACAATTATTGAATACCATACCTTGTAATCCGGGTATTTGCCACAGGAGCCCTCAAAGCTGAGATGTAATTACACTAAATATTCAGCCCAAGCAAAAGAGTTTGCAGGTGTGGACAGGAGGAGTGGGTAGGTGCTGCTCTGTGACTGTCACTAGGTTGAAAACCTCCTGCTTCTACTCCATAGCACAGTTAAAAAATAAGGTTTCCTCAATGAACACAATCCGGCTGACACCCACATTAGATCATATGGTAATGATATGTCTCTTGTATTGTAGCCAGAAACTTTATCGGCCTTTTTTTCTCCACATTTGCTTTATTCCTTTTGCATCTGCTAAGTTTCTAAACTGCTTTTGTATAAGAGTGGAGCAATATGACTTGAATTTTGTCTTATTGTTGATTTTTATTTAAAAGATTGTAACTAAAGAGTTTTTCCACACCCCCAACCCCATTCCAATATCCACCCCTCCTTGTTTATAAGAAACATTTATTATACTTCCACAATAGCAATATTTCTTGTTTTCAAGATGTGTAAGTCTGGAAAATGGAATAAAATTAATCATGTAGTTGTTTTAAATGTGGTCTGTTAAAATAGCTAAGTAGTCTTTGTGAAACCTTTCATTCGGATTCTTACTTGCCTGCTCTGAAATGTTTGTGAAAATTCAAGTCCTTTGCTATGGAGTTTTTGTGTATTTTAAACATATTTCTACAGTGTCCTGGAACAAAGCCACAGTTTTATATGAAAAACATGTCCTTTATTTTCTTCATTACTCATAATTTAAAATCTTCCTTATCGTGTACTAGCTGTTGCTTAAATAAAACACGTAGACACTATATGCTGGTTACAATATAATTTAGCGTGTACATGAAAAATTTGACTTTCATAGACTATACTTTTCTGTAATCCTGAACTTTGAAAAAGCAATAGAATCTGTAGCTGTTTCCAAATTTCAGTAAATGGAAAAAAAAGTGCAAATAGAATCAAAGATATTTATTCAGCCACTGGAAAGATTTTTTGGGTTTTTATAATTCCCTTGCTGGATGCTGTTAGCTGTTGCTGTGTAGGTCTCTACGTTTTGACTTGTATCTTTATGCTATGGCCCCTAGGCAGTTACCAGGTGGGAATTTGAAATCAGCCACTGTGAAACATGAGAGCATTCCCTCCTGTGCATCTGCACCCTTCTTCCATCCCTCCTCTAGCTATCTGAGGATGCATTTCCACATTAAATATTATTTTGCCTGGATGAAACTTGTAGGAATTAAACTGTAAAGGAGGGGAAGGGTGTTACTATATTATCTTTTGACTTGGTTCCCAAGAACAGTCTCCCAGGTTTTAACTCCTTATTCTACCCTTTCTTTGACATTTAAGAACCACATACTCTGTTAGTTTCATAGTTTAGGAAAAGATAACCATAATTTTTTAATGACATTGATGTGAAGGTCACGATCTTCTCACCTGCTACTAATTAATGTTCTCCTCTGACCTCTCCTGGTATTTCATTTAACTCTTTTTGATGACATGTAATCGCTTCTTCCTCATATTACAGTTATTTTCACATGTCTTACTCCAAGGGAGGAAGCAGGTAATGTTTATATTTCTAGAATCTTTGTGCCTAATATAGTCATGATAAAAAGTAAACTATCCTAGAAATACTCAATTAATTACTCAGGACAGTCAAATATTGTCTAACCTCTGATTTGCCCCTTATTAAAACCTAATTTTAGGCCAGGCACAGTGGTTCAAGCCTATAATCCTAGGTACTCAGCAGGCAGAGATAGGGAGTATTTCAGTTCAAGGCCATTCCAAGCAAAATGTTTACAAGTCCCCATCTCAACCAATGGCTAGGTATAATGGTACAGCTGTCATCTCAGCTTTGTAAGGAAGCATAAATAGGAGGATTATAATCCAGGGTGTCCCAGGCATAAAGTGAGATCCTATCTCAAAAATAACAAAAACAAAATGGGTTGTTGGAGTGGCTCAAGTGGTAGAGTACCTGCTTAGCAAGTACTGGGCAAACCCCAGTACCAAAAAAAAAAAAAAAAAAAAGAACAATCCTAATTTAACCTATTAAAGTACTTAATGAAACCTTTCGGTAATAATTGCTACCTAATAGCAAAGAGAGGTTAAAAGAGAAAATAAAGACAGAGGAGTAGTAAAAAAAAAGGTAGAAGAAAAGAAGTGCATGAGGAGGAGGTAAAGGACATTTATAAATGGGACATTTATAAGGGAGAAGAGTAAAGACATTTTGGTTAAGGTTAACATCTTAGTTCATCCCTATAATGAATGTATGAACTCAGGCAACTAACTTAACTTCTTTGAACGTCAGTTTCTATATCTGTAAAGTAGGTAGAAGTAAATGATCACTGAATTCACAGTGTTGGAGGAAAAGTGTAATGAAATGAGGCAATATATTTAAAGCACTTAACTCAGAGCATAGACTTATAAGGTAAGCTTTCAATAACAGTTAGTGCTATTATTTTCTAAGATATTTCAAAGTAATCCTTTGAGGCATGCAAGGGAAATAATGTTTACTGTTTCCTTTTTGCAGATGGGAAAATTAAAGCCCAATGATTTACTCAAGTTCACAGAAATAGTAAGAATTAAAACAAATACTAATATTCAGGTCTTCATACCTAATCTTGTTTGTATTGCTATACTCTATCTTAAAAAAGAATAAACTCTCAATATTAAAAAAATATCATTTAAACTCTTGGTTAACATGTCTTTGTGGACTATTTTCAAAATTCTGATCAACTCATATTTGTACAGGAATAAAAATTTCCATAGATTATTATGATTTCTCTTTTTTTAGTTTAGGAAGAACCTTGTAAGAACTTTGTGTTGAGAACCCTAAGCATTTGACCAAACATCCTTTTCTTTAAAATCTGTATCTTTAATCAGATATTAATTTCCATATACTCTGACATCCACTCTTAGATACAAGAAACTAAGTCATGGCTAAGTCAAATACAGTTAAGTGAAAAGGAGGTCGTGACACTCTCCAGAATCTAGGTCTCTTGCAATCTAACAATAAATGGATCAATTTTGAGGATGGAAATAATGCTTATGCAGAAATTGCTTAATCTCCTTCTGGCTTGGAATGTTGGAGAACTGGGTTCCCTGAAACCTTGGCTGTCATATAGACATGTGAAATATTCCAATTTAGAGTACATACCACATCTGCTACTAAAACCACTTAAACTATGATTTCTCCTGACGTCTCTTTAGCCAACAGGGTAACTGCACTCTGCATGTTGTCAGAGTTCATTTCAAGGCTAGTCACGTGTCCTTACCAACATTGTATACAAGAAATTTCAACTGTACCTACACAAAAGGATATGAAGAATGACAAAACTTTGAAGGGCCTCTTTCTGGCACCCTTTTGTATTCTAAGAGGTCTGGAAGCAAGTGATTATCTTCAAAAACCTGATGTGACTGGCTTATTCTTTGCCTATTCAAAATTAAGTTAGGAGTTAAGTGGATAATCTGGCTATACATTTTGCCAACCTAGATAGATTCATTTTTTAGCCAAGAAAAATGGCTAGGATGAGATTTAAGGAAGGCTTAGATAGCTTGAAACAAAAGTTAGTATAGGAAACTTTGATCTTGACTCACTTCTCCTGCTTCTATTCCTCCAATCCAGCACCTCCATGTTTAGTACCTTTTTACCTTACATAAGTAGCTGTTCTACAGGCATCTAACCCATAAAATGTGCATAGCCACAGTGGATGTCCTACCTGGGTTTTTGGTAAGGCTTAACGAAGGTGAATATAATACATAAAACATTTTGAGCTGTGCCTGACACATCCCAACAACACATACACTTTTGTTTTGCTTCCGGTACTATTGGCCTTGTGGGTGGTGGTGTCACAAACTTTGCTTTGAACAGTCAAATACAAAAATCAGACTGAATCCCTGGATTTTCTATCTGAGTATCTAAACCGTAATACAGTTGGAAGAACAAAGACTTTATAGTTGGAGAAGCCTGGGTTTAAACCTCTAATTTTTATTGTTAAATAACAGCCTGGCTTTCTTTATGCCTGACATTTTATTGAGTTCCAAGTCTGCTGAAATTCACTTGTAAAATTTATTAGCCTCTAGAGGCCTCAGATTAAGAATCTCTATTCTGAGCAATGATATAGATATGGGAATAAAGAGAGAACCAGGATAAACAGTTAATAAGACAGGAACTGCTCTTCATTGCAAGGAAATACTCAGTTCCTTAGTTCATCACTCTTTTCTTGAATGCTCAAGAGGTTTTTTTTTTTTTTGTCAGTTCCAAACAAAAGATTCTTTCTGTAATATTGATCAGTCAGACTGTGCTTGGGTAGTAAACTAACGTTTATTAAATATCTAAGTAGTCTGTTAAAAGTACATACCTCTATTTCACACAAGTTTCCAGTAACTTACTTATCAATCAGTTAGCAAATATTTACTAAGTATGGGGGAACCAGTATGGGGGAAAGCACTGATACCAGGTCCCAAGAAAGATACCAAGAAACAAAATACACTATGAATGGCAAGAAAGGATTTTCACTGTACAAGGAGGTAGAACTTAAAACTATCTATTTATATAAAATATTTTAGTATTATTGTACCAGAAAACTAAAAATGCACAATTTCTGGCCAAAGTATGATGTGATTAGCAATAATTGTCTTAGTATATCAAAGGAGGAATAGGGAGAGATCACTTTACATATGACAGGTTAGGTAAGCATTTATGGAGAACAAGATACGATTTGAGCTGACTTCTGAGAGGGTAAAAAGAATGTGCATGGAATTAAAAGCAAGAAATAACTTTTGAAGCTAACAAAAAAGGCACCAACAAAGCATTGGAAATTGAAAAACAAAAGATAATAAATAAATCAATGGCACTTAAATATATGCTTTCTTTGAAGAAGCCATGAACTCCTTTATCAACTTTGAATGACATGTCAAGGTGATACAGTAATTAAATGTTCAATGCTTACAGAGATAAGAAGAAAAGTGAGTGGAGAGTCTAACTATAGAAGTCCTTGAAAGTCTTTCATGGGGCACGTTCTCATCTACTTTTTCATTTGTTCAACAAATATTCATTTGTGATTAATATGTACCAGTTATTGTGCTAGATTCTTGACTTTATCAAAGGCATTCAAGTGAGGTAATATTATGATAAAG